ACCAGAAAGAAAGGTGGATTTTGAGAATGAAAGCAAGTGAAATCTTGACCCATAAGTGCTCTTGGCTGCTCTCTGTATCTGCTTGTATCAGTTCCATGGTGGAGAATAACCCAGATGCCCCAAGTCCAAGTCTCAGTCTTGCTGTAATCTTCAGGCCATTCTTCCAGCCATCATGTATGAGGTTTCCTGGAGGAGCCTACCCCTGTTCATTGCCTGCACAAGCTGCTTAATGTTGACTGCCTGAAAATAGCATGACATGGATATAGGGAGACCGTGGAAGCTGAGACGGTGATACGTGCGAAGAGCAGGGAGGAGAGAGGAGCTAGCTCTGACCATCCAACCAAGCAGCCTGCTTAATAATGGCACCTGCAAATACACCTTCCCAAACTGCTTACCCGCAGAATTGTGATTTGTGTTGCACAGGCCTCACTGTGTGCCTAAGTGCTCTGTGTTTCCATGCAAGATGGTGGTACCTAGGGCCTGACCCAGGGCACGCTGAATTCCCAGTGACCGTGGTGGTGTTGGGCTGTGCCAGTTGAACAGAAGTCCTTAATTCACCCTTTCACCAACACCGTCCCTTCAGTGCAGTCTTCTAAACCAGAGGATGTGGGGAAACCTTGTCAGTACTTTTCTCTTCTCTGTGGCCTTGCCTGTGCTAGAAAATTGAAAGGTACAGACAAACTCCATCCAAAGGAAGTGTCGGTCTTATAATTAAATGGGAGTAGAAAGGGACAGTTGTGGGTAAGAGATGGGGCTGTGACGGGTTCTCCTTCTGGCAGTAATGACCTGCTCCTGTAGCTGGATGCTGCCCAGTATCTCCACACTTACATGGCATGTGTATCGGTTACTGCAGCGTGCACCTGGGACGGTGGAGCGAGCCGAAGGGAGCAGCAGAAAGCAAGTTGGCCGCAGCGCGGAAGCTCAGCTGCAGAATGAGGTTGTTCCTGCCCCTGGAGTGACAAGACGTTAGGGGGATGACTGACTCACTCTCTTGGCCTCTTCCATGGTTGCCACTCTGGTGTTGAAAACTTGCAGGGACCACTAGGGTAAAAAAGAAATGACAGGGAAGGAAAGAAACAACTTAAAAATTAAAAACTATCCCAGCTGCTCTCCATTATTTTGCCAGCTCTGTCACTTTCTTTTCTGGGCTGGATTCTCATTCCAGTACAGGCTCCAGAGATGCCTTGAATAGCCTCAGTCCTTCCTGTTGGGTTTTTTTTTTTTGGTTCACATACATATATAAGCAATTTTATTCTTTGCACAAACCAAACCCTGACATTCTCGTCCCTCCTTGCTGAAGTGCCTGATGCAGCAGTTTGTTAATTCCCCCAGCTTGCATACCCCTCAGACTGCTCTCCCCTCTTCCGAAGCTGTGCAGGGAGCCTGTCTCTTTCTGTTGCTGTGGGCCCCATCTGGTCATTTTTACTGAACACTTTCTAACTGTGTCTGAGACCTTGGGTGGGTGAGGAGGTGGGAGAGACAGTAGCAGCTGTAGTACCTTTGCTTGCCTGGCTATGGTTTTTATTTTTCCCCCCTCCTTTTCTGTTATTAATTTGTAAAAGACTGGCTGCTGCTCGCCACTCTTTATACAACCCAAGGACAGGCTTGTGTAGCTGATAGTTTGCAAATTATTAGTAATTTGATTTCAATTGGATGAATAACCCATTAAAGCAAGACGTATATTAGCCTCAGAAATCTAATTGGTGATAACGGCATAGAGATGTGGAATGAGTGCTTGGTTCTGCTCCCTATCCCCCCCCCCCCCCGCAAAAGAAGATAATTAGAACTTAATTTCATTCTCACCTATTCATTTGTCTAAATATGGGTGTTTAATTATCCATCTCGGCAGATAGATGTTTCTGCCTCTGTGTGGATCTGAGCTGTTCCTTTGGTATGAGGTTTTCCCTCCCCCTAACTTATAACTCTCTGATGCAGCGTTCTTACACTTTGAAGTTTAGCTGTGCTAAGTCTCATTATGAGACATGCCTTCGCCTGACGCTCAGGATCCCTATCTGCAGTCTGCCCATGTCAGTAGCTGCAACAGACCAGAAGTTACATTTTATGGAAGGCTGAGAGTTTACCTTAGAGACTGAACCCCAAGTAGAGAGCCAGGAGGCCAGGCAAGCTCCTGCTCTGATGTCAGTTCCCTTTGCTGCCTGAACAGATCATTTCACCCTCCGGCCTTGTGCCCCCTTTGGCAGTGCCACGGCTGGGAGGTACCTGCCTACCTGCTTCCTTGGCATTTGGGTGGGATGTGCATCTTCCCGTTACGGTACAGGTTGTGCAGTCCCAGGACCTGAGTCAGAGAGCTGGAAGTGATAACAGTTCCCGGTGCTGATGGGAGCTTTTGAATGAGGTATATTAGCCGCATGGGTAAAAGGAACGTTGCAGCCCTGCTTTGAGAGTCCAGTATGAAAAAACCACTTTTTATCTGCCAGGTAGTGTTATAATAGATGGATGTGTACTGCATATGGTGAGCTCCAGAGCTGAGCATCTATGGAAAGGAGAGGCACGTAGTTAGCTGAATTTTAGGGTGAGACAGAATTGGTGGTGTGGCAGAATGGGATGCTCTGTTGCTGCGCATCTTTGTGTGCCAGCCACACAGGCTCTGTGAGAGCCGTATGGCACATGCACGGGGGTGTAATGGGAGCACATATGTAGTCCAAAGCTGACTATGGCCCCCTGTTAGGCTCTGAACACTGCTTGGAGGAAATGCACGTTGCCTTCGGAGGCCCAATAGGGCAGGTTACCTTAAACACAGGTTTTCTGAATTGAAATTTTTTCATTAGGAAAAGGATCGCGGCATTTTTAATCAGACAAACATGGTGTTTAATCTACATATAGCTCAGGGCCAAACCCTTTTGGTTTTTTTGAGGGCACTGAAGAACGTTTTATGGACAGAGAAACAGGAGAAGAACAAGGTTCTTTTTCAGACTTGCAGTTTGATTTCCAGCTGGTGCCACAGAGTTCATTACTGTGCAGTGTTTGGAGCTCTCCCTGCTTCCACTGTGCGGCTGCCAGGATCTGATTTGCACGGTGTAAGGTGCTGAGCTGGAATTAAAGGGGTTTATGAAGGTTTTGTGTATGTAGGAAATCTAGTATTCTGGGGAGTAGTGCGAAATCAGGCTTAACACCCTTCACCAATTCCACTCTCCTGTGAGCAGGCCAGACCTGTCTGGGCCTGTTAGGGCCATAAGGGCTTTGGCTGGCTTGAATTTGCTTCGAACTTTGGATTCAGATCCGCTTACCTGGAAAGTCCAAATGTGTCCGAGAGTTTGACCAAACTTCGGTTCATGGAAATTTTACTCGATACCCCAGTTTGGCCTGTCCTTTCCAGTAAGTTTGCAAACAGTGTCTGAATTTTCGCTTTGAAGAACCAACTGTTATTGCTATAAGCTCAGTAACTGGGAAGTGCCTATTCCCTTTCTATTTGCAAATAAAATGTTGGGAAGATGGAAAGCTGGGATAGGTTTTCTAAACTGTTACATATGAGGAAGAAGAAGAATAGGAAAAACTAGGTATATGTGGGAGAACTACTAAGTACAATTCTGAGCATAGCTTTATTGGTGGAAGTTAATATCTACTAAAACCTAACCATCCCCTGAAAGAACTACTCGCCCCTAAAAGAACTACTCAGAGAGCAACCAGACTCCCTTTCTGAGCCAGACTTGCAGGAAGAGCACAAAAGGTATGCTATCGCATTAGTAAAACTTGCAGCAGCGTCATGTCTTGGATGTGAAATTATTTCCGTGCTAAGAGTTGTTTTCAGTTGATTTCTGAACTAGGCTGAAGCAGGGGCATCCATTCAGGAAACCACTTAAACAGACACTCAAACCTGAGTTAAGTCCCATTGACTTCACTGGTCATGCTTAAGTGTTTTCTGGCCCAATTCAAAGCACATTCAGATTGGAAGAAAGGCTCTCTTTTACTTCAGCAGGTTTTAGATTAGGCTTCTTCTGCAGTCAGATGGTCTTCAGCGGCACGCTGTTGCTTTTTCTAGTGGAGGACACAGGCAGGAGTGCTGTAGGGATACACAAAATGCACAAAAGTGCCTTTGGCCTCTGCTGCTTGTGATAGTTGCAGCCACTTCTGTTTAATGCTTTTGGGGACCTATATCTGCAGGAGCTGATTGATACGCACAGCCAGGAACCAGCATGTTCACTGGCAGATGCTGAGAGATGTGGGAGTGGGTTTGTGCAAGGATATGGGCTTGCTTGCCAGTTTGGTCTCAAATGGCTGGGGTTCTCATCAATCATGTTGACGTGGAGAAACAGTGGTGGTCACAGACCTCCTCTGGGTGGCGGGGGAGATCAGTGCTCCCTGGTATCGAGTGGAGACACCAGGTCACAGAAGGTCAAGCATCTGCCTTAGCCCTCTGGGTTGGTGTAGATGCTGTCTAGTAGCTAGGGGAAAAAAAAAGGCAACGAAAAACCAACCCCGTTGGCTGCTCTGTCTTAATTTAGGTTATTGTTAATCTAGAATCCACTATTCCTGCTTGTCAGCAGGCAGAGTGACAGAATATGTGAATTAATTTCTGAGGTGGGAAATTGCTAATAATTTATTTACAGCTTGGGGCGGGCGTGGAGGAGGGAATACAGTACAGACATATTTGCGTTTTCTTCATAAAATGTCAATGCTTAGCTCTTTCGGCTTTCTCTGAACGTGACCCATTACTTGAGACAACATCCTGCAGTCCCTACACCTATTAGGGAGACTGCATGCGGCAAGGAGATGTTCTCTCACCGCTGTACAGCTCACCTGCAGGGCTCTTATTTACAGCAGTAAGTCCTGCTGTGGACACTCAGGACTGCCATGTGCGTGCAGTGTGGCTCGTCACAGCACCCCACAGCTCAGAAGGTGGCAGTCGTTGTGGTTGAAAGCTAGGGAGAGGGAGTTTGAGAGGACCACGGGTGGGTTGTCATGATGCAGCAGATCTTTTAGGTGGCAAGAGATGCAGTGTTCAGCATGTGCCATTGACCTCTCTGTTTGTTTGTTAACAGGATACACACCCACTGGGATTTAAACATCTCCTTCCGAGAGACCTCTTGCAGGTACCATTTTGGGGCACCCTCTTTGTATGGTAGGCTAAGAGTTTATGATATGTTACTGGCGTATGGATGCTGTTAGATGTAAATGAACATTTCTAACTGTCAGTGCTGTGGGTTTTTTTTCTTCCTCCTTTGTTCCTCTTTCTCCCCTTACCACATATCCTTTCTTTTGTTTTTATTTTGGGGAAAGTTGTTTGTGGGGGGAAACAGTCTCATTTTTATGTTGGAAGAGGGAATGGATTAGACTTGTAAAGAAAGCCCATTATTGGTTTTGGTATGTTTACTCTGGTGCCTTTTTGGAAGAATGGAACGTTGGGGTGGCCCAGGTCTGTTTCCTGACATGAGAGACATGGGAGTCTGCATCTCATTTGCAAAAGTGATCCTTTGCACAAAAGGCTAATTGAAGGCCAAACTGACTGATGCTCCTGGATTGCTCAGAAGTTGCAGTGTTGTGCTGAGACAACTTAAAGAAGTGCTACCTTAAGAGGTGGGCCTGTGAGTGCAAATGACAAGAATCACTGGATGACAGATGCTTTAGATAATACCATACCGCTGAGACAGCCTGGTCCTGCAAAAACTTAGGCATGTAGGAGTCCGACTGCAGTGTCGAAGTATGAACTATTGGAGCCAATAGGACTCTGCATTTTGCAATGTGAAGTACGAACGGGTTGAGCTATGGCTGCAAAAGTGCAATGTGAGAGTATTTACAAGTCAGCTTGGGAAAAAGTTGACATTAAAAAAATGACAGGTGTTTTACAAAGCATAAATAAAAGAAGTGACATAGAAGTCTGAATTGTGAGAAGAGAAGGATTGCCGAACCAGTCTGATATATTGCTTTTAAAGTCTGGTTTCCTGTAGTAACAGATACGCTAAGAAGGTGGAAATTCATAAATTGAAGATACCCAGTTACAAACATGAATATTTCTTTGTGACCTCTGGGTCAGTTGATACCATGAGCATAGTGCATTTTCTTTATGTGTTGCTAGTAGTCATAAACTTTTCTAATCCTTTAAAAATATAGCTGCAGAAATTTGCCTCTGCACTAGAAAAAGAAAACTGGAATTTTGAAATTTCTCTTTTGTACTGAACTGCCACATCGGAGTGAAATAGTTGAGCCTGGCAGGTACCGCTTGTTTTCTAGAACAAGAAAAATTAATCTGTGCAGCTGTGAAACTTCTTGGAGAACGTAGAACAGAAGGAGGTAGATGGGGTACAGAACAGTCCAGAATTTGGTTCTGTATGTGTTTCATACATATGTGGATACTGTAGAAATCAGGATCTGGTCCATTGGATCTGCTTGCTTTGCAGTCCACTAATAACTTTTTTGTTTCGCTAAAAGTAGTTTCTGATGCTTTGCGTAAACTTCCTGTTCAGTTAGAGATTTAAAAACAGTAGGAAAATAGTATTATTGCTACCACCACCACCACTACTACTACTATTAGTTGTGGAAGTGCCCACTGCACGCTAGACACCTCACAAACATTTAAGAAATTATTCATACTCTGTAGAGATCAGGTTGTCTAGACCTATGAGTATTGCGGCTGATGTGGGCATTTCTGTTATATCTGCAAGTCTCAGAATGTTTCGCAAATGTAGGCATCAGTGACAGGAGCAGAGAGTATTAGAAATTACTTCCATCTCCATCACATGCCCTTCAAATGCAGCGCTAACAAGTTTTGCCCCTGTTCTGTGTGCTCCCCCCCAAAAAATGTGGCAAAAGAGTGAAAGTGGGCAGCGGAGAAGTGAAGGACAAATAGTCCCTGTCATTTTAACCCATTCACACATACCCACTGCCTCTCTCCCCCAACATGAGGACAATTTGGACTGTTCTGTTGGCAACATTGGTGTGTGAAGGTTATAGCCTAAACCGTGCACCTGGAGAGACAAGTCCATCTATATTTAATTGAGTACTGGAGTATGAATTAAGTCTTGGCACCCCCATGAGGCAGTGGGAAGTGAAGGGTGGGAAATCTGTACTGATTCATACTCCATTAGGGAACAAGTGAGGGCAGAGGTATTCATTGGTATTTAAGTAAGCACAGACTTTGGCTGTGAAGCATAAACCCCCATAATTCCTAAAATTTACAATGTTAAGAGTACGAAACCCCACCCTGATCAGTAAGCTTCTGGAAGCCAGTCTAGAAGGCACATCTCACCCAGCACTCCTATAAAAAACAGCTGAAGTTTTTTCTATGGCAGCCTTTAGAATAAAATCCCTGGTTTGTCGCTATAAGGTTTTGGGACTCTAAAATACAAAAGAATGGATTCCTTCCAGGCAGACCTTTTCATGATAAATTTCAGCCTAGAGCAGAGTTTTATGGCTCAGTTATAAACTCCTAAAAGGCAGAGGTTTGTAATGGAAGTGCTGACACAAGCCTTAATTAATAGCCATGTGAACAACGATTCTGCACAATGGCAACTAAGGGTGCAAACCCCTTTGGCAATTAGAATCCCTGTCTTAAAAAAAAAATAATTCTGAACTTGCAATGCATAGAGTAAAATAATGGTCTGATTTTTATGTCAACGAGTACACTTCTTGGGCTTCCTCAGCTTAACTGTTTGTTCCCTTTGGTTTAGCTCTCTCCTGGCAGAAACATGGTAGTTCCTCTTGGGAACAGAAGTTTTGCTTTTGCAGATTAAATGGTTAGTCCAGCTATCAAAAATTGTGCCCATCCAGCTAGTTCAGAAGAAACCAACGCGTGTTATGCTATGTGGCAAAGAAAGTAATTTGTGTGGTTATGTGTCAGTACAGAGAAAGGTTGTATGTATTTAAGTGACCAAAATTGCCACAAGGTTCTGTAAAAGATCTGGCATATCTAAAATACCTCATGGGGTGGCAAAAAGGTTTAGCTGACCTTTCTTCTCAGTGACCTGCATAATTCGGCACACGGGAGTTACACAGGTCATCCTAAACCCATGCCAGGAAATCGTTACGATGCACCACACCTGCATGAATGCACACAGTCACCATGCTACTTCAAATCAAGCAGGTCTGAGAACTGCCATCTTAATTTACCTGCCTCTTTGTCATAAGTTTGTCTTTGATCTTCCTTTCCAAGTTGTCAGAGGGTACCTGGATTCACTGGATTGAGCTACCTTAGAACTGCTGTCTGCATTGCCCTGGATAAAAAGACATTTAATTGGGTACAAATCATTGTATATGCAAAGAACCAAAAGTTCAAGATAGGGGAATTGTCCTGAAAGGGGAGATTAGGATCTCTCCTTGTCTTGCCAGGTGCTTTGCTCCCTTCCCTTGTAAGCTTTGAAGTTAATACAGGTTTGAGGTTTTGTTTACAGCTAGTCTGCCTTTAAAATTGCCTTTTTAAGGTAGAATTCCCTTGCACGGACATATTGTTCCTGGAATAATTTGCTGAAATGTGTTGAAGTTGTTCAGTAAGTGATGTACTTCTCCTTTTATTTCAAGACAAGCCTGTCAAATTTTGGAATAGTAAACACAAGGTTAAAGCCTGGTCTCGGCCACAAGATACCTAGACTCTGCTCCCACTGATTTCAGCGTGGGTCACAGTTGCTCAGCACCACAGGCAGGATTACCTTTCTGAGGTCGAGGCATCTCATGAAAATAAATTGTGGAATAAAAAGGAGTTCCAGAGAGGAAAAGGATTTTCCTTCTATTTGTTGCCACTTGATGTCTTGAGGGAACTGCAGGGAGGTGAGTGAGAAATAGATAAGAGGTCATGCATGTTAATACCATGCAGTGATGCAGCTCAGGGTGGAATAAACATTTTGCCCACCTTCAAATTTCAAGACACTGTCAGTGCAATTAAGCCATGCCTGTTTCCAAGGAAGTCGAGTTGTTTACTGTTGCCGTTGTTAAAGACTGCTTGACTGGTAGGAAGGAAGATGGTGTGTAATTTGGTTAAAGCTGCATACAAAGACAAGGAGCATAGCAGAGAATTGAGCTAGGCATCTTGATGTTCAGCCGCGTGTTTTAGCTTTTGGCTGCATGGTAAGCAAACTCCGAAAGAATATCCGAGGCAGCATTTCTGTCTTCAGTGTCCTGCGCTGGTGCAGGCATAAAACAGTGACAAAGGAGAGAGGCAGGAGCATGCAAGAGAGTCTCTTCATTGCCATATGAACAAAAACCCACTTGAGGAGACACTCCAAGCTTACTGGGCCTGCCAGGGGATAATTTTTATCCAGGTATATGCCACATGAAGGCTGCATAAGAAGAGGGAAGAAAAACAAAGACATCCTTTCCCCAGAGCAAATAAAATGCATTTAACAACCACCATTTAAACAAAGATTACAGTGGTGTGTAACCAGCCTTTCTGGATGGGCATGAACCATATTAGAATGTATTTTAGACAGACAGACATTTGGCCAAGAGCCTGTGTATCCGTGTGCATGTGTACGTGAATGTTTAAATCTGACGATAACATACTTAGTGGGCCTTTCCGCATTGATTTAACCCTGGCATACACCCTTAACTCAGCCAGAACTGAGTTTAAGCAGCAGTGCTTAAACTGGATCCTTACATGTACGTGTTTCGTCTATGTGGTACAGCTGCACACTTTTTAGAAAACTGTATTTAAGGAGGAATGAAACAGGTTAGTCAGTAAGGAAGAGGACATTGAACGAATCAGGCCAAGTGGAAGAAGCAGATGAAAAATACATGGGAAGTGGGACAGGAGAAGCGAACTGAAGGGAAATTCACAGATTTAGCTCATTCCTTTGGAAAGATACACAGGGAGAGAAAAGGAAAGCAGGAGAGGAGAATTGAAAAGTAGATAGTTCTGAACGTGTCAAGGCTGATCCTGACTCAGCAGAAAGTATTGCTGTGTGATGCAAGTAACGTTATCAAGTGCCAGAGGATCCTGCTGCTCTGCCCTTTAAGGATTGATATAGGATGGCTTCTGGGCTGTCTATTTATTTATTTATTTATTTATTTATTTATTTTTCCTAGTAAGATTTGCCTTTTAATCTGGGAGACTTGAAGTAGGTACTAAAAGGTCACAAGAAGTTTTTAGCAGCTGGAAGCTAGA